TAATATCGAAATAAATGTTCAATATCGAAAATTGCCTTGAATTTTTGGCAGAGAAAAAAATCATCTACAAATTGATCCGAGATGCTATCGTTAGAATTATATAACACCAGGACTTTTCAGATACCCTATACAATACAGTCGTTGATGATTAAGAATTCACGAGCGACGCAATCTGCCGAATAAAAGCGCTAGGCTAGATTTAGCATCGTAGCTGCGGTGGTCCAGTAGTTGCTCTCTCACCAATGTCGAAGAAGGTCCGATCGCTGTCCTGTAAGATTTATTTGACGACATGAGGCTGGAATACGACACGAGGGCAAGGGAGAAAAGCGCGGAATTTCAAAGGGAGCGCGATCCTTCATTCGACGTAAGGTCATATAGGAGGCGGAGAATTTTCGATCGAGGGACATACATTTCTATTTTTTACTTTTGCATTTTATTCTCTCACTCTCAGACAAATAGGTATGCTATTTCATACGAGAAATATCTTAAAACAAGATTTCGTAGCTCTAAATCACACATTCCAAGCACTTCCCCATAACATAAAGCGTTTGTTTATTTCATACAAAATTTGCAATATATGTATATATCAAAATATAGTAAAATTCATATATATTAAATTTCTCTTCCTGTAGAATTTTTGTATAAATTTATATATTATTCATATATAATAATACATCCAATAATTTTCATCAAAAATCCTCACTAATAGAAGTAAGTTTCTATATGTGTGGAAAAAAATATATAATATTAAAAAATTTTTTAAATTTTAATTCATTTTGAGAAATATATACACACACATATATATATATATACATGTTATCTTTCTACTTTTATATAACATATTATATTTATCAAGTTAAAGAAATTGATAAAGCTCTGAAAGTGAAAATTAATTTTGAAATTTTGCGAGCAACTAAGAGCCAGACGCGGATAGTAGTGCGTCAATTTCATAGAAAATAATTCTTCTATGGAACTGATTATTGTGCACAAGGCATGAAATTTTCTTGGTCCTATACCAAGTGTAATACATCTCAAATTGAGATTTATAATAACCCCTCTTTATTCCCACAAAGAGACGAAGGCGAGAAAAATATCAGGAAAAATATTATTATATATTATAAATTATTATGTAATATTATTTATGTTTTGTTTTCTTAGTCTTATGCTAGGATTTTTCAAATTAATCAATATAACGGAAACCTCAAGTCATTCCAAGGCTAGATTATAAAGAAGGCACTGTCTTAAGATTGTTTGAAAGAACAAAAAAAAATAATCTTGAGTAAAAAATATTAAGCATTTGCATGTACATTTATAGCAACACGCTCGGTTATGTATATGATCGCGAGACAAATCACATTTTGCGTAGAATTAAATTACTAATTACAGTTCTCCGAAGCGTCGTTACGACGTGAACGGCTTCTGTCTCTATTTTAAATAAGATACTTTTTACAATATGTACAATCTCACATTCGCGATTATAATGACGGAATGACGGAAATTGGCAGATATATTAAATAGCATGCCTCCCCCTCTCTCTCTCTCTCTCTCTCTCCCTCTCTCTCTCTCTCTCTCTCTCTCTCTCTCTCTCTCTCTCTCTCTCTCTCGGGTACGCGTAAAAATTATAATCGGCCGCGTTAAAGTTCATTTACGTACGAGATGTAATCACCTTAATTTCGCATAACTTGCCATTATCCACCGCGTGTGTGGTCGCATTGTAGTATATAAACAGTACTTATATTTATGGTCCATAACTTTGACAGGTGAACACTTTATGTTCGTGTACGTACGTAAGTATTATTCAATACATTAATACTCGTGGAAAGTATTCAAGTACTAGACCTGGGTCGAACGTGACACTCTTACCGCGAATGACTTTTTCCGCGGGTTCAAAAGCCAGTACAAAAGCCGTCTCGCATTAAAAATCGCTCTATTAATGTCCATTTCTTAGATTTAATGATAATAAAACGAGATGATAATACTATATAGCTATAATAATACCATTATTTATAATACAAGTTTTTTCGCTCGTTTCTTAAATACAACGACACTCGTGTGCACACGGGTGATGTTTCCGAACGCAGCCTTAAAAAGATCCTTTTGTAATAATATATCAATCTCATTATATAATTATTGATCATATTTCACTCGTAAATAAATTAAAAATTATCTCGCTTCGCAATATGTAAAAATATAAAAGTTACATTTTGGAATGTGAATAAAAGATTGTTAAGACATATCTATAAAAATATGCTTAAATATTAGACGAATAAATTAATTTAATTTAGGACAAAATTCATTTTCCAGATATTCTTTCGAATTAATCTTCTGATGCCACTTCAATCTATTAAAATTTCTAAAAATTGCACGTGGTATAATATAAATTAAAACAAAATTGAAACTAGTACGCGGCTCACCTCTATTTTGACGTTCAAAGTGCATCTGAAGGTTAAAGCGAGGGAATACTTGAATAATGTAATCGCTGCGGCAGCGTAAGTGTAAATTACTGATAAGAACGAGTGGAGCATTTGAGGCATCAAGAGAGAAGAAATTTCAACATCGACGAGACGAAATGTATCTCAGATGCACCGTCATTAACTTATCTCATATCGTCAGAATTATTAAATTGCGATAAATCGACTCGATTCACGCGAGTTTCTCACGTTACAAATCAAAACTGAGCAAGTTGGTCAATAATTACACTGTAAAAAATTTTCTAAAAATTCAGACACTTTTTTGTCTGAATTTTCAAATCTGGGTGTCTAAAAGAAATTTTAGACAATGTCTTAATCATCAGAGTCATTTTTCTGAAACTTCAGAAGAGTATGTCTGAAAATTTAAGCGTGTATGAAAATTCGGACAGCATTCTATCTGAAAATTCAGACAGCGTGTCTGCAAAAAAGCTGTAGACACTTTGCTGAAGTCTCAGCCAATTTTTTTTTTACAGTGTAAAATGTCACGAAATCACAAACCTCCCTTCGATTTTAACGTCACTTTGCGATCTATCAGAACTTTGACGCGCCCGTGACTCTGATATGTACATTTCTTCGGCAAAATTAAAAATGTTCGACCGTTTCATCGAACTGAACAGTGTGTAGGAATAGAAAAATAAATCTCGCGTGCGATGTTTCGTTTCGCGAATGTAGGTTTTGAGCTAAAAACCAATGTCTCTCACAGATAGTTACTCGAATGATTCCTATCTCTTAGGAAACGCAAACAGATATGTATTTGGTAATGCATTGATACGATTGTGCGACGCCTCTTTCTATTATCATTTCCTTTGATTATCGTCGTTTCTCTCTGATGCCACGCTGTGTTCATCGTACACAAGTACGCGTCTACTTAGAACAGAACCAGGTACAACTGTAAAAAAAAATCTGTTTCTGACATTGTGTTTTTGGAACAGAATCTCTTCTCAAAAATGAGAACGCGATTCATCGGCATGCTCCAAAAGTTTTTGTGTTCCTCGCATCTATTACACTATAAAAAATTTCCTAAGAATTCAGACAAATTTTTGTCTGAATTTTCAGATCGGGATGTCCGAAAGAAATTTCAGACAATCTGTCTTAATTATCAGAGTCACTTTTCTGAAAATTCAGACAGCATATCTGCAAAAAAGCTGCAGACAGTTTGTCTGAACGCATACAGCACAGAATATTTCAATTACATTGCAGCAATGTTACAATCTTACAAGTTGCAATGCAATATTGTAGAGATATTACAGGAATATGTCACTGTAATATTTCATGAGAAATATTACTGCAACATTCCAAAAACTTTACAAAAAAAAACGGTATTCAGCCGCTAGTTCGTTTGTTTACCGCTATGCGACACGCGATGCATTATCCATCTCGTATTTGAATTTTAGTCATGAGAATTATACAAAGCTTGCAAGAAGCAACTAGCAGGAGATTAAGAATGTAATAATTATTTCTATCAGTTTAATTTCCAATACAATCCCAACACAGGAAATTCAGATATTAGACTGATTCTTTAGAAATCCGATAGATAAATGTCCGAAAAAATTAAAATCATTCATTTATTGTCTACTTAAAATATAAAATAGAATCTAATATCCATATAAACAAAATTTTAAATTTTACGAAACAGATATGTATTTGGTAATGCATTGATACGATTGTGCGACGCCTCTTTCTATTATCATTTCCTTTGATTATCGTCGTTTCTCTCTGATGCCACGCTGTGTTCATCGTACACAAGTACGCGTCTACTTAGAACAGAACCAGGTACAACTGTAAAAAAAAATCTGTTTCTGACATTGTGTTTTTGGAACAGAATCTCTTCTCAAAAATGAGAACGCGATTCATCGGCATGCTCCAAAAGTTTTTGTGTTCCTCGCATCTATTACACTATAAAAAATTTCCTAAGAATTCAGACAAATTTTTGTCTGAATTTTCAGATCGGGATGTCCGAAAGAAATTTCAGACAATCTGTCTTAATTATCAGAGTCACTTTTCTGAAAATTCAGACAGCATATCTGCAAAAAAGCTGCAGACAGTTTGTCTGAACGCATACAGCACAGAATATTTCAATTACATTGCAGCAATGTTACAATCTTACAAGTTGCAATGCAATATTGTAGAGATATTACAGGAATATGTCACTGTAATATTTCATGAGAAATATTACTGCAACATTCCAAAAACTTTACAAAAAAAAACGGTATTCAGCCGCTAGTTCGTTTGTTTACCGCTATGCGACACGCGATGCATTATCCATCTCGTATTTGAATTTTAGTCATGAGAATTATACAAAGCTTGCAAGAAGCAACTAGCAGGAGATTAAGAATGTAATAATTATTTCTATCAGTTTAATTTCCAATACAATCCCAACACAGGAAATTCAGATATTGGACTGATTCTTTAGAAATCCGATAGATAAATGTCCGAAAAAATTAAAATCATTCATTTATTGTCTACTTAAAATATAAAATAGAATCTAATATCCATATAAACAAAATTTTAAATTTTACGAATTAAATTATTTTATTATTTATTTAATTACGTTACCAAGTGGTTTTGTCATATAATATATATGTATACATATATGTATACATATTTGTAACTACAGATGTAAAGTAGTTTAGAAAACGTATAAATGTTAAGATAAGAAACATTTGTATATACTATATCTGTATATACTATATAGATACATTTACACAGTAATGCATTGCATTATTACAAGTATGTTACATTGTAAGATTACTGTAATGTTACATTGCAATGTTACTGCAATCTTGCAGCAATATTTCGCAATGTATATGGAATATTTCATTGTTACATTGAAATATCTATGTAATGTTTCTGCAATCTTTTTGTACTGTATGGGAAGTTTCAGTCAGTCATTTTTTTATAATGTATCCTTCCCTCCCCTTCCGCTCCCCTCTTCCTCTCTCCTGTTCCTCCAAACCGTTCGAATGTATTTCGCATTTATTTATTCTTTCCAATTCTTGGCCGCGATGTCCTTCATCTCACGACCTTCCGAGATATCGACGACGGCGGGATCGAGTAGCTTTTTGACGCTGTGCTGATGCTGTTTCTCGAAACTGCCAATCTGGCCGTTCTCCAGGGGCTCGTTAAGGGCGTGCGCTGTCTTCGGGACGACGACGACATCGGCGCCGATACGCCCGAGGCAGAAGTGACGGCAGGGCACCAAGACGACGAAGAGACCGAACAGAAAACCGAGAGCATTGCCGGCAAGTACGTCCCACCAGTGGTGCCGATTGTCGCCCACTCTGGTCATCGAACACGTCACGGCCCACATGGATGTCAGGCACTGCAGCCACGGTTTCAGAAACAACGTCCGATTCGGCAGACGGTTTTGCAGGTACCACTGTGCGATGCGTATAAATGCGCGTTTTTAAAAAAGGAAAGAAAAGAAAAAATCGATGTTCGTATATCTCTTCTGTTTTTTATTTTTATTTTGCACGCGATATCTATTCAACGCGGAAAAAAAATTCTCTCGGCCGAAATATTCGATTCCTTTTCCCCACTTCGGAGCGCGAATCGCTCTGTGTTTATTTCCGTAAATTTACTTGACAAGACTCGCGTTTATCGTCTACCTATCGTGCGTCCCACGAAAATCGATATTCCGTTAATAGATTTTTTTTGCAAATTCTTTAATTCTCGTCACACCTAGATACTGGCTACCGATACCGAGGAGAAGTACTCGATGCTGGCATCTCAGCTCTCTGTATTGCCAACAGATTGCTGAACTTTACGGATAACTTGACGAGACGCATTCTCTCCTTTTTTCTTATTGTTAGTATAAGTCACACAAAAAATAGATTTCTCAAGTAATAAAAATAATTTCTTACCACTAAGAAGATGCTCGTGTAGAGGGAGATAGCCGAATGACCGGAAGGAAAGGACTTGCTGGAATCCTTGACGAACCAATCGGAAAACTCGGTATTGGTGCACGTGTAAGAACTGATGTATCTGTAAAAAAAATTGAGAGACGTATACATAACTATATTTGTTCTCTCGGATTAGGCGCATATATATAAGTACACAAAATAAAATTTAAATATGTTGAAAACCTGTCGGTTATATCCAGGGAAGAGAGAGAACCTAATAATAGTTTCTTTTTTATTATCTCATTAATAGTAATAGTCTTTCATTAATAGTAATATATAATAAGTATAATTTTTTGATATATTTTACATTTATCAGATAACTCGAGTAAATTAAGGAGTTAGATAAACCGATATATGAAATATATTACAAGATATAGATTCGGGAAGATTATACAGGATGTTCTAGACCACCCGTACACCCCTTTTCTTTCAAAAACTAAGCATTTTAGAGAAAAACGTTTTGAACAAAAGTTGTATGGTTTTGAAGGGAACATAAGATGGTGTCATTGGTTTGACCTTAGATGGCATCGTTAAGGTCAAACCAATGACACCATCTTATGTTCCCTTCAAAACCATACAACTTTTGTTCAAAACGTTTTTCTCTAAAATGCTTAGTTTTTGAAAAAAAGGGGGTGTACGG